AGATATAAAACTAAATAAGTAAACATTAAATAACAAAAAAGCTTTACAAATTGCATCAACAGGTCAAATTAACATGAAAATACGATTTGAAAGCTATTAACAATTAATAATAATAAAAAATCATGCATCAGAGAATAAAATCAACTAAAACACATCCCAGGAATTTAGTATTTTAACGTCATGGACAGTCAAAGAAGACAAAACTTGTGCAATGTCAAAAATAAAAGTACGACAGGCATTAGGATAGTATGGAGTTAATCTCTATGTAGAACATGAACGTGGATGTGTTTTTATACATCAAAAAAAAAAAAAAAACGTTTGAAAAGAATACAAATTTAGTTATGTTTTAATTTGCTGATGACAAAATCGATATTTATCAAATTAAAACGTTTGTAAGATAACCTTTACTAATAATTTTTGTTTAAAGATTCGATCAGTTTACATGGATCACATAGTGATTTCCGCGCTTTCAGTACAATATCACTGTAAAATTTAGAATGGGAAATACCGAATTTTAATAAAATTTTCTACAGGTACAGACAAATTTACTAATCAAATCTTTGTATCTTGGGCAATATGCGTAATAGATTTTCCATAGGCGGTATTGGTAACGTTTTCCTCTGTAGCACAGTCCATTTCGTAAACTTGGATATGCATGACGGCTCATTTCGAAGCTGAGACATTTTCACATATTTGGTTAAATTTTCGGGGTATGTAGTGTAATTCATTTTTCCGTATATAAGCACACCCCGAAAATCCTTTCGTGTTGCGGCTCCTGGTTGTAAAAAAATCCCTTTTTTCACACCATAAGTTCTTTGAAAATTTAATACTTTGCATACATTTAATAACTTCATAGTTTTTACACATTTATTCTTTGGTCCTCTACTTTTCAAAACAATACAAATGGTCAAGCTCAGTCACTTGTTAAAAATACAAACATGTCCAATATCACTACACAGAGATTTTACGCACAACTTTCAAGTTGAGGCGCATATTAGGGATATTGACCCATCTATGAAAGAATTTAGTAAAACTTTTAGGTAATTTATGGTAACGAAATTCCTGACTTAATAATTTACCAGTAATGCATTGATTACGTTCGTTAAAATCTATGACACCACTACACACACGGGCAAAACGAAAAAGTTGGGATACATAAACACCGTATGAAGGAGCCAAAGTAGCCAAAGGAACATCGCCGTCTAAAAATGGAAATTTAGCAAAAGGGAATGAACAATCGTCCCTTTTGTCGTAAATTTTAGTATGACGTGTCTTTACTGAGTTTGGTCATAAACTGAGATTCATAGCAATACAGGAATTAATCTGCTATTAAAGGGGCACAGTTAGTGCCCATAGGAATACCTACTACTTGTCGATACACTTTATCGCCGAATCGACATACATGTTGTCCAGGAGACAATTTAAAGCTTCAATTATATCTTCACATTTCCAGTAAGTGTATCTAGCATACTTTCCTTTTTCGTTACAGAAAAAGGCTTTAAACGAACTACAGCAAATACATTTGAAATGAAATTTTTCAAAAGACCATTTAATTGAATATGAAAACTTCTTCTTGATAAGATTGTTTAGACTTGTAGTGTATAGAGTAAAAAAATCATAACTGTCAACAGAATTAAAAGGACCATCAAAAGCATGTATTTTATCTAAAACCTCTTAAGAATTTTTAACACTCCAAAATGATTAATACCATTATGCTCATAAGCTTTATTACAAAAGTTAATAAAAAGTTCTTTGATAGTAGTAAGGGAGGCAGTTAGAAGCACGGATAGATTAGTAGTAGAACACTTACTATATGCGGAGATGAATGTGACCTGTACGGAGTGCGAGGCTATACATAATCGCAAAAGAAAAAAATGTTCCACTTTTCATAAATATGGGTCAGATTATGCATATTTTACGGTTTTTCCTTGTGTATAACACACCTAAAGGTATAAAGATTTGTTGACGGTCAGTCTTTCATTTGATCATCTTTAGAACCCTCAGTGTATTATTCGACAAAAATAGCCTACTAAAATGCATTATCTATATATCATTAATCTAATGATAATCTACTTAAGAGATAGTATAAATTATAGCACGAACAAAATACTATCCGTTTGAAAGGCATAGTTGTACACATTACATAGGTTTCACACAACGAGTGTTTATAGAAACAATAAATTGGGAATGCTGGAAATGTTTGGCAAATAAAAGTTGTCAAACATTCTGACATTGTACAAATATAAGCAGATTAATTGGTTGATTAAAGTGGTAACGCTTAAATACTGAAAGATTGGCGAGAACTCCAAAATGGAGCAAAACTGGGTGGCTCAAAAGCCTAAGCGTGTATTAATATGTATACTTTCCCCGAATTTACACTATAATACAATGTTACAGTCGGAAAATTTGCTCAGACGACTTTACTGGTTTATAATGGAATTTTATGCGACTGTCATAAAAGTAAGAGGTTAAGCTAGCTATAAAAACAGGTTCAATCCACCATTTTCTCATAAGAAAATGCTTGTACTAAGTCAGGAATATGACAGTTGTTATCGATTCGTTTGATGTGTTTGAGCTTTTTATTTTTTGCCATTTGACTAGGGACTTTCAGTTTTGAATTTTCCCCGGAGTTCGATATTTTTGTGATTTTACTTTTGATCAACCTGTGCGTAATGGTTGTTCTTTCTTGCAACTCTGTTGCAACAGTTTTTGGGTAGATTACCTGGTAGGGTTAGTATGAACAAAATAGTATACGTGCAAACATAGTTTCCGAACAAAATTATACGAAATTGGGTCTTAATAACAGTCAGTCTAATGCAACATTGTTTGTAATGTTCATTTTGACTGGATAACACACAATTTTCATGGCATGTACACATCATTCACAAATCACTAGCGAAGGAAACGCGAGACTTGTTTATATCATTAAATAATCATTGTTTGACTCATAAAAACTGTTATGTCACTTATAAACCATAAGTCCGATTTTTTATTAACATACTTTATAACATTGCGAGCTTTGAAACACTAATCATTTCTTTCGATATATAATTGTTAAAAGTGTTCTGGTTTATTTTGTCAAACGTTGATATTGTACAACGACTGTATACAATTATTATTGCCCTAAGCTATTTGTGATTAAGATATCCCTTAACCATCAACCGAATTGTGATTGCGTCTATACATTTATTTTGATAAGAGTAAAAACAATAGCGTTAATAATAACAGTAGTCCACAGAAATTTAACAAAAGACACAAGCCCTGCTGCTATATATTGACATATTGAAATTGATAGTTCACTATGACAAAATAGAAATAATCTTTCTCCTAACCTTACCTTCAGTTTTAACTCCTTATTTGGCTTTACTTTAGGTTCTGTTTGGTTTCTTCGTCAGTAGTATTAGGTTTTGTATTATGCCCCAAGATTCCCGACGATATATTACGTGTCGAAATGCACATCTGGTGCTGTTAAATTGTTGGATCAGATATTGTTCAAAATATGTGACAGACCTAACTCCTCCTCCTCCTCCTCCTCCTCCTCCTCCTCCTCCTCCTCCTCCTCCTCCTCCTCCTCCTCCTCCTCAGCAGCAGCAGCAGCAGCTGCTGCTAAATCAGCGATATCAACAGCAGTAGCAGCTGAAGCAACGATATCAACAGCAGAAACAGCAGAAACAGCTTACATTAGCAGCAAGTTCAGGAAACGTGTATAGCGAATATACTTATTTTCAAAGAGTGCACATATTCCATATGCGATGCACAAAACGTCCTAAGACAAAATTTATTGACAAAACATATTAGTTATATATAATTGTTCTGCCGTTCTGCATTTTCTGTTATAAGCCGTCCATTGTACGACAGTCATGAATGCAAGCAATAGATAAGTGTAACATTAAGAGAAATATTTCTCATATTACACTACCAAATTAAATGGTTATATTATGCTTGTTCTCCAATCCTTATATTGTATCATTTCATTTGGATAAAACAACTCATCGATTATCTTGTAGTAGCTAGTCTGCATTGTTTTGTTGGGAAAGCAGGATTTTCGGTTTGAATCTCTGGTCAGGTCATATCCTTTCCTAACAGTTTGATAAGGGTTCTTCTTGATTAAGCACGCAACATTAAAAAGAGCAAAGACTGGTTGGCTCGAAAAAAAAAATGTCTGGTAGTTTACCATATCTCTTGAATGTACAATCTGATAAGGCTTTGCATGTCAGTCTAGAAGGGCACATTTAAATGTTTCCGTCCTGAATATGCATTTGATTTTCCGTTCTCAATTACAGCAAACCATGATCAGCATAAACACAAAGTTAAGACCTTGTTTTGAAAATACGAACTTATAACCATATCATTTGCACATTTACCCAACCTCATAATCCATGTGGCTGTCCCATGTCAGCTTTAATGTTACGATTGTCTTCTGTACCTGTCTGTCATAATTGTTTTTCGTTGGTTGGATTTTACAAATTATGCCGTCAATTTTCTCGTTTGGAGTGTTTCACATTGCTTATGTCCAGGTCTATAATAACTGACTTTACAGTTTGTGTTTTTTTCATTGTTAAAGGCTGACATTGGCCATCATTACTTTTATCTTCGTTTTTTTTTTTTTATCTCTATCGGATAGTTGTAGCATTTGCAATCAATCATATCACATTTTAATTTAATGCATGTGGAATATTTAATGAATATACTTATCTTTTTCCCTTATCTCACATACGACTACATACCCTATGGTTTACATTTTTTGTTGAATCATGTTTTATAATTTTTTTTTGTATCATGTTTTTGAAGCGTGTCGACCATGTCATAATATAGTTTCACTGCAGTCATACTGGTAACAGGGATATATAGTTTTTATCGGTTGTGAATATAATTTATTAAGTTACTAGCTTATTTAAACTGTAAGTATTTTTAGATATACTTTTTTTCTGAAAGCAATTTTGTTATCAATATTAGTACAAAATCATCAAAATAAAGGTCTCCAACAGGTGTTACATTATTTGACTTAATCTTAAATACAATAGTTGAAACGAAACACTATAAATCACATGGTCTAAAAGCAATACTGTCTTTGTTAAAGGTACACAGATACGAATATTTTATTTTTAACAACTCACTGTATCCTTGTCTTTATCGTGGAACAATTATTTTTGTATCCGTTAATTTATGTTAAATGTAAACTAAATACACTAGTAGTGAGATGTTTTGTTATTTATTCTTTTTACAAATTTAAATATTACAAAGAATGCGGAACGACAAACCCAGTTTTCATACAAATAAAAAAAAACAAAAAAACATATGATTATCTGAAAGGTCATTCTTTCATCAACAAGGGAACTTGATACGGAAGAATTTAGTTACAACAATTTATATTTGCGTTTCATTATCTACCTTGCTTGTCAAAAGGATTACAGATTGGACATATAATGCTTTTGCATCTTGTTTTATAGTCACTTTAAGGGTAAGTTATAATAAACTCGTGACATTTTTTATACATTAAATGATCTTAAAATGTACTGTACCAAGTCAGGAACATGTCAGTTGCTATAAACTAGTCCGTTTCTGTGTATGTTGAAATTTGTTTAATGTTGCAGTACAGTGTTTCTGTTGTTCTGTTGTTTTCCACTTAAAGTAGATTTTTCCCTTCGGTTTTAGTTTGTAACCTTGATTTGGTTTTGCTTAATCGATTTATTAAACAGCGTTATACTAATGTTCCCTTTTTTTATTTGAAAGAAAATGCAAACAATATAACAACATTTAGCTAACAGAACAGCCTGGATATTAAAAAAAAAAACAACAATATGGATAAAAAATGCCCGATGCAAATAATAGATATTTGCATTTACCATCTAAACATGATTAATTTTTGAATATTTCATCACAATTTGAATTGAGAATTGTGTTTTACTTTGACTTATTAACAATAAATTCTTTATATTTTGCAGATAACATCATGATGAAATACAGTGTTTGTGTTTTTATTAAGTTGCTCATTTTCGTTTGCTTCATCAGTAGAGGTAAGGGACATGCTTGTAGTTAAATAGTCATTCACATAATACTATATAAATTATTCTTAAATAAACGAAAACAAAAACGATCACGCAATGCTTATTACAACAAATAATGAATACAACGTGTAACAATTTAAAAGGTGATCATCTGTACCTTATATACGTTTATATTGCTTAGAAAAAAGGGTTGAACATTTGTTGAACACAATGTTATATGGTAACATTTGTGTCGTACCTTATAACCTTTTTAGTTAAGTGTTGTCAAAAAAGGTTGTCATTCAGAGATCCAACGAGACGACACGTGTGGTGTTCGATACAAAAAAACAAAGTAATTGATACAATCAGTAAACAACGCTACTCAAGCTGTAGTTTATACTTACCAAAAGATTGAATTTGCACGCTGAATATTAGATTCATGGTTCGAATCTGTATTTCAAAAAGTTTCTTTTTATAAATGTTTAAATGTAGCTGACATTGTTTGTATGATATCGCTACATAATGTGCGCGTTGTTCATAGTTAAATATGTATGAAACAACGCTATTGATGGTTATATATATTGTTTTTTATTTATTGTTTAAGGTTCGACAAAAATACTTTTCAAAAACATATGATCAATATTTACCAACTTCACTTTTCAAGCGTTTTTATTCATTTATTAATATACAGGTTTTTTTTTTATAAAGGGATCGTATCTTTGAATGTATGTAAAAACCATGCCAATTCAGTTATATATAATCGATTTTAAAATAAAAGCTATATACATATATTTATTTATGCCGCTGATGGACATAAATGTCAGAAATCAAACATACATGTGAATCACTTAAACAAATTTTTTAAAGCCTTGATTTCGTCCCAACGTTTAATCTTTTAATATGGTTTCATTGAAACTGCTGTTAAAGTAAACACTTAATCTAGTTAGTGTTATGTGTTTATAAATAGTCGTATATGATTTATAGCAAAGTCATGACAGTTTCGGCCCTTTGTGTAATGATGCAATATGTCATGTGATATAATTTTTTTCTTTCTGAATAAACGTGCTATGGTTAGTTGATGTGTGTTTTTTTGTTTGTTGGCTCTAATCAAATATACGTTTAGCGGTATTGGGAGGCAAGTATTTGTCCCCGATGACGTAATATATGATAAGAAAAAAAAAGAAGACAGAGAAAATTTGCTTAATAAAAATACCATGAATATGTCAAGGCCTCCGTGGATTATTCTCTCAGACTCACGCGGGCTTAAGCTCTGAATGTTACCATTGTAGATTATTCTGCAATTGGTATAATAAATATAGAAATAATAAGGTAAAAAGACATAAATATTGCAACAGAGAACATAATTTCCCGAAAAAAAACTTATTACACTTCACGAAGCATCTGGAACGGGTAATCTCTATTAATTTAATGTGTTGTTTAAAGCTTAAGTAGATAATTCAGCTTCTCTTCATAAATAAAAACAAAAATATACTGCGACCAAAGCCAACACTAGCTGGTGCTGGTTTTTTTTTTTTTTGGGGGGGGGGGGGGGGGGGGGATGTAAGAAAGAAAACTTAGAGTATAATTATAATAGAATGTTTTGGCTTTTTTTTCTTTCATTTCAGGGCTTCAAAACAAGATAATCTATTCAATTTATGGTTCAATTAAAGAAATAAACTTGCTCAATGGAGAAGTATCAACTTTAGTATCCAATCTGCAGAGTAATATATATTCCTTAGACTATGATTATAAAACTGGATATATTTTTTCCCGAGGCATAATAAAGACGACATTTTGAGGTAATCAATCAAAGCATTTTCTTATAATCTTGAAATTGATATATACATGTGTATGTTGTATTTCAGTACTCCTGACTTTGGCTGGAATCATTTATATATTTAAATACAATTTCAGGAATCCCATTTTATCAATGGTTCAGCATTCTGGCAAAATGTTAAAAGATTGACTGAAAGTTATTATAGACGACAACTAATTGTATTTGGCTTTAATCATCTTACATTTAAAGGGAGGCGAAAGATACCAGAGGGACATTCAAACCCATAAGTCAAAAAATAAACTGACAACGACATGACTGAAAAAGAAAAAAAAAGCAACAGACAAAATGCAAAAAACACAACATAAAAAACTAAAGACTGACCACCACGAACACCTAAATCTGGGGGTGATTTCAGGTGCTCCGGAAAGGTAAGTAGACACTGTTCCACATAAGACAACCGTCGTATTGCTCATATAAGTACAAATATCCGGTAATAAGGCTAATTCGGTAGTTCACATTCGGGAAAAATTGACGGGATTGTAGTTACGACATTATGAACATCTATGAAACGGATATTCCATAACGGTCAACCAACTTCTGATGGCGTCCTTAAAACTTACGAAGAGATTATTTTAACTTCACCACTTGGGACTGATGGTTTAATAGCTTCCTTGTGGACAACAACCCTCTATCAAGGAAATGGTGATAGGAAATGCAAGCCCTGGAAAATCATATCAACTTGGAGATATGTATTTCTTATGCAGGCTGGAATATTGCTACATAGAAATAGTAACTACTGTGTGACTTTATAGTTTTGTGATCTGCGTCGTTCACTAAAATCCTTTTCAACTGATTTAAGCAGTTGGTTCCTAACTTATGCTGTCACAATACTGTTCCAGCTTAGAGTGACAGTTACACACAAACAATTGTGTGCAACCTTATGTATTCATTGTGTGCCTGTTTTAAGTCGGGATCATTCAATGAAGTTCTGAGTTTTGTATTATGTTTATTGTTTTTCTTGTTTAAATTATTTCATATTTCGCCATATTGATGCATTTTAGCTACTTAACGATCATGGTTTCCATTATTGTTGAAGTCCATACAAAGACCTGATAAACCTTAAGTTACTTATAAATATATCCACGTCATTTATATTACCCCAAATTAGTTTATCTTACATAGTATAATATAATATACTGTAGTGATTGCTAATAAGAATGAAAACAATGGTCTTAAATTTTAATAAAATATAATGGTTAAATCATAAAATATATTGGAGGAATCATTCTGATAGACTGAACGCCAAAAACCTCAATTAAAGTACATAAGGTACTATTAGGGATTTTCAAATATGAAAAGATTGTTTTGGGAGAGAGAAAACTACAATCAAAGAGAGATGTTAACATACAAATGAAAATTAGATATTTTCGTAGGACGAACCCTCATATCCTCAAAATACAGAGAGTGAAGACGAAACAAGTGTCACATTCATTTTGTTTTGTTTAGTTGATAATTAGATCTTTGTTAATCTATTCTCATCTTAATTGTTTACATGGGAGCAAATAACCTTGGTTTCATTTTTCATGCTAACCACTTTGTCTTGTTCAATGGGTTATGGTTTTGTTCAATAATTTCACCTCTGACAAATGTTTTGTATATATTTCGTTGGTTTCGTGTTTTCAATAATTTGCTGTGTTTCACGAAAGAAAATCCTGGAAAGCGCTTCGAACGCACGGAAAGTATTTATTTCATTTAAGGAAGTGTGAAATTATACAAAAGTATTATTTACATTTCACAGGTTTCGTTATCCATCTGATACAGCTTATAGCACTAAATTGGTAATAAGTGCAAGGGAACCAATAGCTCTGGTTATTGACCCGCTATTGAATCATGTGTATTGGACAGAAATATACCAACAAAAGATCTATAGATGTAATTTTGATGGGACAAATAAGAACTTCATTCTGCAAGATGATCAACTATATGCTATTACATTAGATTACGTAAACAGGTTTGAATTAAAATTAATACGGCATTTGGGAATCTGGTTATAATAGGATAATAGAGAAAGCACAAAACCAGCTTATCTGTGTAAATTCGATTTGATTGATAACGCAATTTAACAATACTTACTGTTATTTTGATGATATTTTCTCATAATAATCAAGAATACTCTGAATATACTGCCGAAATTCACCACAGCTAACTTACTTTAAATAGATCCAATATTAACACCAATAACTGAACTTTTCTAGAGTTAGATATATCAGTTTTACACGAGAAGTCTTAACAAAAATTTACGACCAAAGGGACGATTTTTTATTTTTTTGGAGGTGATGCTCCTCTGGCACCGTCTAACGGTGTTTTTGTTGTTGTACAAGTTATCATTTTGTACAAATTCTAATTTGTATTTTTACTTTGTACAAATTGAAATTTTTACATATTTTGACTAAAATTCACTTATAGGTTGCATTTCAGTAAATATAGACAATGCAATTTCCCATAGGAACTCCCTTTACGGCTAGAACTGTGCAACTTTTACTATAAAGTTTCGTAAAAAATAATGTCCTAAAATGGAAAGTTGATTTGCACTACTTTTTTATTCAAATGTAAATACACAGGGCTGTGCGTCATATTTTAAACATTTATATACCCCCAACTTCTTAGAGTTTAAACTTGTACTAAAATTCTGCACTACCCCTCACATCACTTATGATCTTTCTTAGAATTCAATTCCACCCCCTACCATGTGCATTTATACTGGTAACATTCCCGATTTAAGATGAAACATAGGGATCATATCTGGGAACCAGTACGTAAACAAAACAAAATATCGATGATTTTTTTATATTTCCCCAAAAGAAGCGTGGTTTGTGAAAAAGCTGTATTTACAAAGTCCAACCTATAACGTGTACATTAATTCAAATTGTTGATTTTGTTATAAAAAAAAAGGATTGATACACTATAAATTTTTTATTAAATGACCACACAAAAAACCTTATTTACCGAATACAAAAATATTTCTGCATCATTTGTTTGAGCGTGTGAGTGAACTATGGCATCGGGAATCGCACAAACTCATTTATTTTTAACATTTACATTTTACATATTGAGAAGTGCTTCTCCTCCTTTGTATCTATATGAAAGAAAACCCTGACCATCAGTTTTTGAAAGCTTTTTAACTGTTTCACGTAGCAAAATTTTAAGCTCAGAAACCATTGCTGCGAATAAAGATGTGGCTTTAACAGCTTCAATTTGATTTCAGTTGAGGAACGATCATACTGAGGAATTGGTAAAATGACATTATCCCCCACAGCCAGCTCTGATAATTTCTGTTTCGTTTTCATGGTTAGATATTCGGCTTGGATCTGTTGGCCAGCCAGCTCACGGTTCTTGGCACGAATGATTGGTGATTCAACGTCAATATCATCCTAATTGTTACCAGAGCCAATTTCTATTATACTATCAGAATTGTCACTGGGTCAATTTCTATTATACTATCAGAATTGTCACTGGGGCCAATTTCTATTATACTATCAGAATTGTCACTGGGGTCAATTTCTATTATGCTATCAGAATTGCCACTGAGGCCAATTTTCATTGTACTATCAGAATTAACTGGTATTCATGTATCACTAACATTTAATACTATATAAATATCTATGCTTTTTTTTTATAACAAAATACATACTATAAATTATTGTACAAGTTATAAGTGAATTTTAGTTGAATTGTGTTCAAATTGTAATTTGTACAGGCACTTGTTTACAAATTATAATTTGTACAAAGTCCAAATACAAATTATAATTTGTACAACTTTTTTGTACAAATTATAATTTGTACAAAATGATAACTTGTACACAACATTTATATATCACAACTCGTTCGCTATACTCGTGTCTGAATTGACGCTTTGAATTTGAATGAGTGTAATATATGTTTTACTAAAATTCTTTAGTCAAGTATTTCGATACCACGAATCTTTTAAAACCTGTTTCTATATTCTTCCATAGAGACAAGAATTTGGTTTGCAAGTTTGGCTGGTTTCGATATCAATAGTTGATATTAATGTTATACACAAATACATGGAATTACACTCTGTCGATGACTATATTTTAGCAATGAACAATGTCAAGGTTTCTATTAATGACGTTTTTACACTAAATCCATGGCGTGTTGGGTGTGTATTGATTGATATTTTAGTCTTAGATACATGATTCTTTTTATTAGTTGTTATTAGTTTCAGCTTACAGTATCTTCGAGTATTATCAAGTCTTTACTTGGTGCCTTTTTTGTTTTGGGATGTATAGATACGCTGCCACATCCGGTCTGTGTTTTCGTGTTTTTTTTTTTGTTTTTTTTTTTTTGTGTCTGATCTGATAAGGTGAGCCCTTTTCAACTGATTTTCAAAATTTGTTCTAATGTTGTTCTGTTTGTCCCAGGTTAAAAGGAGGATTTAGCGCCAGTAAACTAGTTCAACCCCGCAACATTCGTAATGTGCCTGTCCGAAGTCAGAAGCTTGTCGTTTAGTCGTTGTAATTGATTAATCCCTAATATTTGATTTCAGGAAATTGTTTTGTTATAAATTAGGCCGTTATAATTCTCAATTGGATTGTTTCATATTTTTTTCATGTCAAGACCTTTTATAAAGTTAGGTTTTTATTCTCATTATTGAAGGCCGTATGGTTGTCTACAATTGCTAACATCCAATTCACTTGAACTTTGGTGGATATTTGTCTCATTGGCAATCATACATCATTTTCTTATTTCTATATTCTATGTTTGTAACGCCAGTCTGATTTACGAGCGAAAGGTCGGGCGGGATGACGTGGGTTCCCTTATCATTTAATTTCATCACATTACAATGTTAAAAGAAGATCGCTGAAACTTCAGTAAAACATGTGTAATATGTCGAAGAAGTGCATATGTTACTACTTACTTGTTTACAAATTTTGCAAAGACTATTTACAATAGTGAACCTATATACATGTAGAAATTATGTTCAGTGTGTTTAGCTCTTGTCTCTCTATTTTGGCATTTTTTTGGGAACAATATTCAAAAGATAAGTAACATTATATACCTATACGGAGTTATTTTCTTACAGAACGTAAGGTTTTTTTTTTACGAATCAACCCGGACGATACCAAGTTACAATACTTCAACACATAAAATAATGTCCTGTGTAAGGTCATTATTTTCCCTGATTAAAATGCAAACTATAATTAACTTATTTAATAAACATTTAAGTCGTTTGATAGTTATCGTGTGATGTTGCCAATTGGGGTTTTACATTTTTACTTTTCCATCATTTCAGGCTTGAATGCTTAAGACAGAAACAATCATCTCTATTGAAATACTAAAAAATGGTCGTTGACGCACATTTTAACTTTCGAAACAAATGTTAAGTTTTGTTAATCTATCGCTACAATAAAGAGACATTATATGAGACGAATTTAATAATTCAAAATTTTTCATAACAATTTTAAAACAAGCCAGATTTAACACATTTACATTCGGGTGTAGGATTTTGAAAATCCTATTGATTCACGTTGTTTTGCGAATAATTCTTCGCATATTCGTTTTTCGTGTTACTTGTACATGTACATGTATCACGATTGCGTGCTTCTTTTGGGCCAGTTTTTAATTTTTACATTTATTTTCACATTTTATTCTATCAAATGATTAAATGATCACATGACCAAATATTCTTATTTTCTACAGAGTAAAGGCCGTGAACTTTATGTTGGGTGGGTATATGTGCATAATATTAAATCCAGATTCTCAGTATTAAAAAAAAATGTATTGCTAGACAGAAGAGTGGCAAAATTTATTCTGAATAGTTGATAAAAAGTTGTTGAAAGAATAATCTGCTTTTCCGCGATAACATTGTCATGAAAAAGAAAAACGAAAAAAAAACATAGCCTCCCCCTTTTTAATCTAAGTTGACAACAACTTACAAAGTGACTTGTATTTTTTATACACCGTAACAATTCATTTGTGTCTTCCTTCATGCTGTAACAGTTATATTTTCATTGTAACTGGATAATGATTTCTAAAGTTTATATCTAAATCAATCAGTGATTTTATTACACATTGTAAATGAGCCGTAAGGCGTATATAAACCTGAACGTATCCGAAAAGAATATACAACTTTAGTATTTTCGGTAAAATAGTATTCAAATCCTGCAAATCATTGCAGAAAATAATGTATTTTGACGATATATAAGTCAGATAATGCAGATTTAAAGTTTTTGTTTGTCGTATAACACACCTCTGGCTGTCAGGATTGCCCTTTCATTTGATCAATCCTGACACCCCTCGGTGTGCTATACGACAAGAAAACACCGTAAACTATGCATTATCTATAACATATTATCTAACCAAATCTTTGGGACTTCACAGGAAATAGTCAAAACTATTGAGGTTGTCATCCTTGCATTTTGAGAATGCTAAAACATCATTTTTCATTTTCCTTTTTTTTCAAATGTTAGTGAATACTATTATTTATTTATCATAACAAGTCGTTTGTTATTGTTTCTTCTGTGAATATTATATTCTGAAATTTGAGGCAGCACCGATGATAAGTCCGGTAATGTTTGACGATACAGCAACTGTAACAACCATTATTATCATTTACTTAATTCCAATAGTGGTTGTTGTTACCACCATTTTTACTCAAGGGAACAAACATTCTTATTAAACATTTAATAACGTATAGGTAAGAATACATCGTTTGGATGCAGATTGTTGAAATCAACTGATAGTAAAGGGGTTTTAAATTGGTACTTATTTATTGAAAAGTAATAATGTCATGAAAATGTAATCAATTAGGTTCAGATATGGTATTCGTTTAACGCCTCGGTGGTCTCGTGGTAGCGTGTTCGCCTCGAGTGCGGGAGGTTGTGGGCCGGATCACACCAAAGACTTAAAAAACTGATATTTGCTGCTCCTCCGCTAAGCACGCGGCATTAAGGAGTAAGCGCAAAGACTGGTCGGCTCGGAGTCAGAATAATGTGTCCGGGTAAGATAACTTGTCTTCCTGCGGACTGTTACCTTGTCAACTAGCACGTTAAAATCTGGCTCAGCGTGTTGGTCTAGTACAAAGCAGGGTTAATAGTCATATTAAACTAACATGTTCTCGTTCTGAATATGTACATTATTTTGCTGCTGGACTTTAATCATCATCATCATCATCATTATCATCGTCATCGTCGTTATTCGTTTTATTGTCAATGCCGCATAATAAATATGACGGATTATCTCTACTATATCATCGTAGGGTATTTACGTGATATAAACTAAATAGTAACGAATAAGAAAGAAAAAAACATCGATGTAATAAACATTCTTTGAAAAAGATAAAAATGGTTTCAGGTGATTCAGTCTAAACGACAACATTTTCCCTTTAAGGAACATGTCTAAATATGATCTGAAGTCGACTACCACCATTTATTCACAACTCTCTCACGTATGTTCTATTATGTGATTACAGCTGGCTGTACTATAGTACAAAGACAAACAAAATAAGAAGATCAAGATTAAATGGTGCTGACAAACAGACCCTCAAAGAGTTGGTAGATGTAACTGGTTTGGGTATAGGTGTGTACACTCAATAGCTTATGTTAAAACAAAACCAGACACTATGGATATAAAATATGTGGTATTGATGATCAATAGCCTCCATGATGATAGAAGACTCTTGGAATTAGATTAAAGTGTTGACGATTGCATTTAATGTTTTTCTTGCATCCTTTTTAGAGGTTGCAGCGAGACGTTTTTCAATCTAATTTGCTATAATTCAATGACAAAAATATGTTTTATCCATAATTCGTAAGCCGTGAACAAGTAGTCAGTTCTTATGATATGATGTAGAAGTAGTGTTTTCGTTCTAAGTGGAAAGCTTATCAGAATCATATTTACAAATTAAGTAATATATAAAGGAAAAGCATGAACAGAACATACAACTATGTATTCTGAAAATGTAATGAAAGAAAAAAGTAACTAAATACGTTAACGTATTGGAATGTTCGTTCATACTTAGGAGAAACGTATCATAGATACGCTCAAATAAAAATAAAAATATAAAAAGACCAGGTAAAGTACGGAGTCAAAGGGTATTTGAGACCTAAAGTTCTGAAGGGTTTTGCTAAATCAACTAAAGTAGTTTATTCAGAAAACCTCCAAACATGTCATTTCACGTTATTTCATTTCTTTTTAGACCGTGACGTACACAGAAAAAGTCCTTTTTCTATTTTTTGACTTGCCTAAGTGAAGTCTGTTAAATCCTTCTATCTGTTACAAAATGTTAAAAAACAAACATTTGCCGTACGGTGACCCATAGATGCTAACTTCTTATGTTAAAATTATATTCAAAAGAAAAGACCTATGAATATGTCAATCAGTCGAAAATGGTGTAATTTTTGTGTAAAATACCCCATAGCAATTGCTGTTTCCATAACATGTTTCAAAATTAGAAATTTAGGGAAATGACATTATTGCCAATAAGATAACAATCCATTGAGTTAAACAAAGAATAACGTGAACAATAACGGGTGAACTATTGACTATCAACCTTGTGGATACTAAGCAGTAAACTATAAAAGGGCCCCGCTTAAATAAATATGTGAGCAGTCAAAACAATAAAACATTAAGCAGACAGGTTCTTTTAATTCATATAACAATATTTTATTTTTTTTAATAACAGCATGACCTTGGTCACGGTTGTTAACAGTAGCTTTTAACACCAATACTCAAACAAAGATGGTTGAACAAAAAGGTAAAACATGCTACACAGAGCAATAAGTGATCAGTATGCTGGAATTTCTCATGACAACATATTTATTGAATTTGGAGGGATACTTTTTTCAACAAGTTGTCGGTATTCCTATGGGAACGAACAGTGCGCCTCTCCTTGCTGACCTCCTCTCATTTTCATACGAGTTGCAGTTACTTCAGACACTTGTCAAAAACATGACAATCAAAGATGCCCGATCATTTAATTTCACATTTAGATATATTGATGATGTTTTTTCACTTAACAATCCAACTTTTCTGATTTGGAACCCATTAATATATCCCCCGGAACTTGAAATAAAACAAACAACAGACACGGCCTTCTCTACCTCAATTGTTAGACTTATACCTCGAATTTGACATAAGCGGTCATCTCAATAACAGAACCTATGACAAGCGAGTCGATTTTAATTGAATTTATAAACTTACCCCACCATAGCAGCAACATACCAACTTCACCTGCAAATGGGATATACATTTCCCTACTCATTCGGTATTCAAGAGCTTGACACTGCTACTCAGACTTTACGTCACCAGTGTCTGAACAGAAAGGTGATGAGCCAAGGTTATGTCAAAGAACGTCTCGTCCTCTTTCTAAAAAAATCATTGAAGGATACCAAGACCTTGTTGATAAATATTCTGTATTAACTTCACAAATAATATATGATAGTTTTGAAGTATAGATTTTAGGCACTGACGTTGTTTATCCTCTTAATTATATCATTGTACGTGTAAAGTTTCCTGTGTTTGTCCTTTTTTTTTGTAACGTTTATTGTTTAGTCAATTTTTATTATACACATATGGATCGGTACTCATGCATCCCGTCATTGTGTTGATGTGCTCTGGTCAATTTTTAATTATTGTCTTTCATTCTTGCTTATGTTCTTTGTCTATATGCCATTTTGTGATTCTTTGTTGAAACTGTTATTTGTTTAATTACATATAATGTAGTTATTAAGATTGTATTACAGTGTTGACTGCTGTATCCCAATTTTTGACGTTTTTACCTATTATGTCCGTTTGTTTTGCACACACATTGTTGTTAATATAATGGAATTCAATGCGGCTGTCATATAAGTGAGCGGTTTCGCTAGCTATAAAACCAGTTTAATCCCCCATTTTCTATATAAGGAAATGCCTGTACCAAGTCAGAAACATGACAGTTGTTTTCCGGTCGTAAGTTGTGTTTAACCTTTTGAGCTTTTGATTTTGCAATTCTATAAAGGACTTTCTGTTTTGAAAATCTTATAGTTCGGTATTTTTGTTATTTTACTTTTTTAGTAAGAGCTGGTTTATATATAAAGAGTGTTTTAATCTACATTAAGGATTTCCATTGAATAACAATGCTATAATCATGATAATGATTATAATAATAATATTATTATTATTCATACAGCCATTCTTCACATAATAAGAATAAACTATTAGTAACCACGAAAGGCTCGTGGTTATTCCGAGAAAACTGACACACACCCTTCGACAAAAAAAATTACAAAACTTTTCAACCAACTTGTGTGTGTCGCGAGTGGTTAGAAATGACAACACATGATTTGAACAACTAGTGAAAACTGTATATACCTGCCAGACTTAATTTAAACTCTAAATTGTTGTTACTGGTCAGGCCTTGATAATGTTAATCAACAATTCCACTATTTGTATATTTATAACTAGTATTACTTGTATAATTATTTTGTTTTGCTAAGTATTCATTATCATTGATCAATGTAATGAATCGTGTGTCAATTGTGAGGCGATAATTGTGTTTATTTTATTTCAATATAATCACGACATGAATGCCATGTGACACCATATTGAAATAAAACAACTACCAAAACTGATGGAGTAAACCTAAGAACACCATTTCTATTTCAGATTATAACAAAAAACGACTGTATTGGATGGAATATCAAAGAGGAGATTTGGAATCTTCTGATCTCAATGGAACAAATGCTATCAAAGTAGTCAGCACGAATAAAACCAGAACAAACATAGGCATTTATGTTTATGGTAGCAAAATATATTGCTCAAATGGTAATCAAATATTAAAAGTCACAGTATCACCAGTAACAATGGCAGATGTCGTACACACAGATACAGAGACAATTCATGGTGTACTTTTTTATGATGGTAAGAATATACTTATTGGAAGAAAAGGGTAAAGATAAATTTTCTGACATATTCGTATACTGTTTATATCTTTCAGTCAATCAAGATAAAATCTCATTAACGTTACCAATTTTTCTGCACAAGATGCGCATTTCCACAATACATGAGCTTCGTCGGATAGAAATCGACCTCATGCACATGATTATCAATACATCTATTAACTTATTTCGGGTTGAAAAAATCTCTTTGCAAAATCTGTAACTGTTTGAAAATAAGTCGATATAAGATTCCTACAAAATAGTCCAAAAAGTATCTTTAATTTCGTATTTGAATGTTCCAAAATCATTCAAAGTATGATACATGTACATGAATACGTGCATTAGTCAATTTCTATCCGATGCAGATCACATGTCTCTTCAGTGAATATATGGCCGAAATATTTGAAAATCCAAAACTTAATGAAAAAAAAAAAATGAAGAGCTTATAAACCAAAAAGAACACAAGGTAAAGCCAAAGCCAGGCAAGGAATCATAGCTTTGAATGAGAGGATTATCAGTCCCATAAACAAAATCGCTTTAAAACATGTGGGTATTTCTTAACGAATCAATTCATATATGATTGGCAATGTCTTTTTATTTGATTATATAAAATTTAATGTGTGTAAATAATGACTTGTTAAGAAGAATGAAAAAATATGTACAAATGTATGTTAGTCTGTAAATGAGAAAATTGCATGCATACACACAATGCATATTGCACAATAAGGATAAATTGTACACGTAATTTGATAAAAAAATGTTTGCAATAAATGTTTGATTTATTGACCTAAATATATTATGCATATCATATATGTAATTTAAATAATTTCATCGGCAACTTGTATGTATCATTAATTAACGATGTCTAACCTTTTTGTATGTGTCTTCGTCTCAATATTGTGAAATAGTTATGTACGGTTTGTACGTGCATGCAGCTATATAATCAACGTTATCTCGTAGCTATTAATTCGTATTAAATTAACAAAATTTACAGGTTAACTAACACTATTATCTAGCTTAATGAATGCAGTAACGGTTGTTTATGAATATGAGAGAGCAGTCTTTTATTGACGTTCCCATTTGGATATCAGCTATGAGTAATCAATAATAAAAAAACCTAGACGAAAAAATAGTACAAACGAATAAACTTATCCTACTTTGTAGTCTTACAGAGGGATGCATATAGTTCGTTCTACCTCATAATCACGAGTTTTAAATTTTAGTTACTAATAATGTTTCAATCGATAAATATTTAAGTTTTATGTTTACACGTTTGTAATACATTTAGAAAAGAGAGGCAAACGATACCAGAGGGACATTAAAACTCAAAAATCGAAAATAAACTGACAACACCATGGCTAAAAAAGACAAATAACAAACACACAAATAATAGTACACAAAACACCACATAGAAAACTAAAAACTAAGCAAAACGAACCCAACCAAAAACTAGGGGTGATCTTAGGTGATCCGGAAGGGTAAGCAGAACCTGCTCCATAATTGACACCCGTCGTGTTGCTCATGTTAGGACAAACCCGATAACTAGTCTAATTCGATAGGTCATAGAAATATCGTGTTTGCCCCTCTTTCCATACAGATTTGAACTACATACATTTACACAACCTTATTTCATTCACTAAAACGACATAAGTGACATGTAACATTGTATATTATGATTAAGACGTTTTCTAAATACTTTATGACACGTTTACATCATGTCTATATTATACGATGTGTTATTGGTTTAGTTTGACTAATTTGATAATGTCATATTTGAAATAAACCTTGTACTTACTTTTGCTTCTTTTCGAATAATATTTTCATGAAAACAAAATATCCCTTCCATGAACAAATGATTTTCAAATCAATGACCATTATCTCATGAATTAATTGATATTTGATTAAACATGTCTCTAAATTTGCACATGTTAGTATGTTGAGTTTAATCATACATATGTTTTATATATTTAATTTCAATCTAACGAATTGATTCATGTGTTCCTTTTTCATTTAAAGAAATGTTTAAAACGTCTATATATGAGGTATTCACAAACATAACCTTAAATAATTCCACTGACACCAAAAGGTGAGTAATATTTTATGTTTTTTTTTAATTCAAAACTTATTATAGAAACGTGTAAAAAAATGTTTAAAAGTACATCAGCACAAGCAAATGATTATAATTTTCCAATTGATTTTGAAAAAAGAAATATTTTTCATGTCACAATACACACATTTAAACTGAAAACACTATTGTCCAATGATTGTTTTTCGCGCATATGCGTTGATATTGGCAAGTTTGGATCAACTGCATAACAGTTTGTTATCTACAGACTAGACTTTACAAAGTACATCACACACAATCAGTAGGTATCAATTTTTTTTTTTAATTTTATATGGATACACAGATAGTGTTTACATGAACCTATTGTTTTATCTGTATTTTGAACAAAGACATTTATTTTTCAGTCGAAGATTTTGCTTAACACATCTGACTTACAGTTTAAGAAAGAGTATGCAGTATCTTGATTAACCATTGTTTTTCCTGTTTTATATATCCTTCATTGTAAATATTGCTATAATATATTTTAAGGTTGTGTTCTACAGATATAATTTTAAAGTACATGTTCAAATTAGTTGTTGTGAAGGTGAAAATAGTAACTTCCGCTTTTTAAAATCATTTTAGTGTCAGGTGATGGCTTACCCGATGCGCATGATTCATATAAGTTACATTACCATTAAAAAAAATTATTTTACTATACGCTGATTTATCAGGTCTTTTGAATGATTGATAGGATAACTGAATCTATGCATCTTTAAACTCACAATCAATGTGCCTGCTTGCCATTTTTGAAACAACTTGTGTTCTTATCTAAAAAATCCAACCCTGTCAAATATTTATTTCATCATTGAACACATTTATTGAAAAAATCATGTGGAAAGTATCCCTTTACAATATAAATTCTCTATCTTAATTTACTACGTCAATGAAATGCCAAACAAACGTACACATGACATCAACTAACGTCACCTAAAACCGAACACTTTGTCAGAAAAATAACGATTGAAATTACGCGTAATATAAGCCAGGTATAGTTGATGAGTTTTTACCTTGATTGCGGATGCTACAAACATATGTATAGTGAAGGTAAATGGAAAACATGAACTTATATATTTGTCCGATGTCCTATAACTGATTAATTATATGGAAGGCTACACGGTGACTACATTTTGTTAACTTATATGCAATTTTGGCAGTGGTGGAGATTTGCTTTCCTGGAAATCATACAAACACTTCATATTTTTATATATAGGAATTTTTATTTTAACTAAGAATAAACATGAAATAATTAGATACTTTTGGCCACGTCAATTAAGTTTTCTTTGTCGTGCTTATTTGGTCTTTATGCGATATAATTATAAGTTTGTAAATGCCTTTAGTTTTTTCTAGTCTTTTGTGTTCTTTAAACGTCTTCAACTTCATAAACATGTTAAGTCAGTCTAGTAAACAACATGACCCTGCCAAATTTAATTTGTTTTAAATGTTGATGCAATCTTGTGTACAGAAAATCACTTAACCAATCGACCAAGTCTTTATAAAACGTCATCAGTGAGCAGAAAGTTGATGAACCAGGAGTATGTCAAAGAACGTCTCGTCCTTTTTCTTAAACAAGACCTTGTTGATAAATATTCTTTATCAACTTCACAAATAATACACGATGGTCTTGAAATATAGATTATAGGTACTGACGTTGTTTATCATCTTTAAAACGTGTTATAGTATTCTTTCATTTGTCTTTGTAAACTATTACTTTTACTGTTTAGTCTATTTTTGGTAATATCCAGTTGACGTGGCTCTGTACGTATACATCCCGTCATTGTGTTATTCTGCTATGTTAAATTTTTGTATTCTTGTATTTCGTTTTTACTAATGTGCTTTGTCTATATGCTTTATTTTTTATGTTGACCTATTTGTTTGTTTTCATTGTGATTAAGATTATAACACAAGTTGACTGCTGTACCCCTATTTTTGACATTTTTACCTATTATGTATTTTTGTTTTCTTCACACATCAATGTCAATATAATGGCATTTTTTGCTACTGTCATACAAGTGTGAGGTTTAGCTAGCTATAAAACCAGGTTTAATCCATCATTTTCTACACAAGGAAATGAATGTACCGAGTCAGGAATATGACAGTTGTTATCATTCGTTTGATGTGTTTGATCATTTGAGTTGCCATTGCTTAGGGACTTTCCGTTTAGAATTTTCTTCGGAGTTCGGTATTTTGTTATTTTACTTTTTGCATAACAGAAAACATGTCAGGGTTTGTTCAATGGTCAAGACACACCCAATAAAGACAGAACACAAATTATCTGACGATATAGCTTTGAAAACGTTATGACAATTCTAAATATAAAAATCAACGTTTGTTGCTGCAACGTTAGACATAAAACCATAATTAAAAAAAAAAGAAAAAAAAAAAAACCTTAAACATTTTTGAATATTGCTTGTTCTCAGTCCTAGAGTATGTACTTTTTCAAATTGTTGTCTTAGGCCGTTTTCACATTGAGCTAAAGTTAACTAAACACTTAGAATAAACTTTATTACGTTTCCATTGATAAAATTCAATGTTTACATATACTTTAAATCAGGTTTTGACTACATGCAGTCCATAGTCAATATAGGACTCGTGTATGTTAAGTATACATATAACTTGATATTAAAAACGTGGTTTTTACCATGAATATTTAAGGAGGTTACAATTATTGAAAAAAAAATGATTTCTAATATTTTTTTCTTTTTTGCTAATGGAATATTCATTTTACATCTGAGCTGGGTCAATATATGAATTCACCTTATGCAAGCGCACATATATGTGTATAAGACTTTGATAGATTTTAGAACATTCAAATACAAAATAAAAGATGAATTTTGGTCTGTTTTGTACGGTCCTTATAACAACTCAATTTTCAAACAGTTCCAGATTATGCATACAGATTTTTTCAACCGGAAACACGATAACAGATATATTGATAGCATGCATATTACTTATTGATATAACGGTTTTATTATTTAGCACGAACATTTTTTCTTTTCTTTTTGTATACAACTATTTCTTGCAAAGTCCTGCATTTTTTAGGGAAAAATATTTATTGTGAACCTGTTTTGGAAAAGATTATTGTTAACAGTTAGTACCAGTCCAGAATATTAATTTTCAAAATCACCACTAAGGTTTTGGGGTAATAGAAATATTGTTACTTAGGTCTTATTTACAATCGACAGTAAAACCCTTGTCAAAGTGTATCATCAGTTTGGCTATGCGGGATGTACAAGTATGCAGCCACGACCTGTCAGAATGGGGACATTAAATCTGATAACTTGTGTAAAAAGAGATCAGAGCACATTAAAAACCCTTGCAACAACACTTTCAATGGTCTGTAGGTGACCTGTTGTAAGGGGTATACTCTTTCTCTATCCAATATACTCTAATTTTCGAATGACAGTCTAAATTTCACTGAACTTCGTCCCGAGTGGCTTCTATTATAAGACCTACCTATTGTTTTGATTGTGAATTTGTTCATGTCCTGAACACGTATGAAATATTTGCCACTAGACATGAAGCAACCACCAATCAATCAATCCCTTATTTTCAAAATATTTTTTTCGCCTACAATTATGCTGTGTTATCCTGTTTAATTGTGATATCTTTAGAACACTCAAAGTTCTACAAATCAATATAACAATGTTTTGAAGGTATTAACCATTCATCTTATTGCGACAAACCATTATTTTTCATATTTATTAAAAACCAACAATTGTTCATCCATAACATAAAGGAACATTTTTTTAACTCCATGTTGATTACCCCGTCCTTCAGTTTCAATGGAATGAAACAATTTTCCTCACCCCTTCCTGAAACAAATGTATGTTTTCTGTAAAAAAAAATGGAATTTAAACAATTTATCTAACCACCATCCCCTTGAAACCCCCCCCCCCCCCCTCCCCCAAAAAAAAGTTTATAATTAAAAACAATATGAATTGGTCTGCGCCTAACTGATGTAACAGTTTACAGTCCTATTCGTAAATTACATGTGCATATTGTTTACTTGGTTGAACATTTACCATAAAGAGGTAATTAAAACTGATGTACAGATGAGAACAAATTTAATGTAAAACCAGTGGTCATTACTTGAAACTAATTGTAAAACATGTACAGAATGTGACGTTTGGTGTGTATAGGATCTTAGTTGGTGTATTTTGAGTACGAATCTTATATTTAGTTTAATCTCTATGTTAAATTCTAAATCACTTGTGACCTACAATTCTTGCCAAGTATTGTCATAATATTTGTCCTCCAACTAAACTAAAATTACATAGAATATATACCTTGATCATTCGTGAGTGTGAAATGTTTTGTCGTGAACTCATGTCAGCCTTCTATTCATTAAGTTGAATATATGATGATTATGTTATAGTTTTTTCTTCTGTATTCAGACAAACATATGAATAAAATTAGTTTCATGTTTTATTTTTAATCATTAAAAAAGTTCAACAGCAGTATTTCTATACGTGTGTTGTTTGGTCAGTTTGTTCATAAATAAATATCATAAATGTATGATTATTATGATGATTGGCATTTAGTTGAAGCTTTATGTTCTTCCGATATTAGCAAATATAAGATATCAAAATCATCATTTGAAAAAACATACATTAAGGAAACAAAGGAAAAACTCTTTCCTCATATTTATGTTTATGTTTTACAGATATGTCGGCAGTGAAAATAATTGGTCGTTATTTCTCTTCCTGAACTTAAAAATGAAAAATGGTACGATAGAAGGACGTTGGGGTTTGTAATGGAACACACTGCATGTCGGATAGACCGCGACGGAGCCCAACTATGGAGTGATATCGTACAGTAATTCTAACTTTCATCAAAAGAATAATTACGACGACTTTCATTAATTTTATTGAAACATTTAAAGGAATAAAAAAAAGATAATGAGCATGCAAGAATTAGGACCACAGAACATCTCCAATACACACTAGTGACTCACAGTCGGACAATCGAGTGAATGTTACAAGGAATATGATGTCAATTATAAATATATAAAACATGGGACATTCGAATCGGTAAATTGTGATTACATATTAAAGCATTATCCATACTGCCGACGTATTCGGGACAATGGTATCAATATACCAAAGCGAAATATATGTCAACTTGTGTTGACAATAGTTCTAAAATAAACTCGAACTGATTTAACTGGAAAATATGAATGATAATCAAAAGCAAAAAAACGTCTACCGTATTCAAATAAAAAAGGCGATTTGGTAGTTGAAGCAAAGATGTGAACTAAAGTACATATGCATACACCAATCAAGATGCATAGATGACAGACGTATAAATGAGTGGTTTAGTTAGATTCTTAAGAGCTTTCATTGAGGGATTTATAAAATGTTGGTGTTTGAGTGAATGTATTCTGAGATGCATTATACACATAACATTATTTACACGGGTAAAAGCGGGAAGTTTAAATTGAGAATAGCTAATGCCTATGCTCCTTACAGTGGACAATACGTCCGAATGTGCATGTATTTAACAAAATGTGTATGATGCCGTGATGCAATTATATTACACCATCCAAAATATATTGCAGCTTATATAATATATTTTGTTGCATCATTTATTGACAGGGGATTCATAAACGCAATACTTTGAATTCGGTAAATAAGTTCGCAAAACAGTCAATGCATACTGTTTTTTTTTTTTGGCTTACATGTTCGATTTTTAATAAATTATTAAAGTTCACAAAGAGTCATGTGTTAAAACACTCACAAAACGTTCAAAGCTATTACGTAAACATATAAGCATTTAATGCAAAATATATTGATTGTCTTTTAGGCATAATAAATAAACAAATATCAATCATGAATTGAAAGGTGCATTATTATAGATACACGGTACCCTGAATAACATCGTTATTCATAGTAAGTGAGGAAACTCCCTTTAAATTTCGAGGAAGAGGTTGTCAAACTATCTACAACCGAATATGCATTTCTGTTGTTGGAGCAAGATAGTACATTTTCTGGAAGATAATGAATATTATTTGCGACTGTTTGTTTCGATGCCTGATAATTTTTTTTGTTTCAAAAAGCGAGTACGAATTTTCAATTCTAAATACTGTCAAATCAAAATCTTACGAAATCTATCACAAAATTAAATCAATTCTTCATGTTGTTCTTTTAACCCGCTTTTTGATGGGGTTAGTGTTGTCTTTAGTTTACTATGTTGTGTTTTGTGTTCTGTTGTGTGTCTTTTTTTGTCTTTTTGGTTTTTTTTGCCATGTCTTTGTCAATTTATTTTCAACTTTTGAGTTTTTTTCCCTTTGGTATCGTTTGCCTCTTTTCTCAAATCATATAAGGATTATTTACTCCTGAGCATTGAATATTACACACAATAACTGTATTCCGTATGATGCTGAGGGTATTACGAAGAAAAAGTCTCCACAATTCCCGCTTTACTTAAACTCTTCTTAAATTTAAAACGAAACCAACCAAATGTCCGAGTGCAACCCCATACTTTAAGGAAACTCGAACAGTCTTCAAAGACAAGTCTGTAGATTTATAAAGTTCTACAGACAGTCTCGGATGCATTATTTAATGGATTAAATAAATGTATTTCAGACACACGCAGACTGTGATTGAACATGTTGAACTATATATTTTGTCTAATATCAGAACATGGACATTTTACTTAGGGAAGCTATATAAAATGTAAAAATCAGATTGAAAAAGCTGGATCAAAAATAAGCAAAAAAGAACGAGAAAGTTACACACAAAGTCTAAGAGACTAGTAGTTCTGAACGTTTAATTCATTATTTTAAATTGTATTCCATTGCACCATACTGAACCATTTGTTAATACAGCTGGAGAGGTCTGACCTTTCTTAATCATTTAGCAGTTATATAAGCGGTTAGTGATACACTATAAAGTGTTAATGTTTACACTATGAAGTTGATGGCAACATTTTGTCGTATTATGAATATATAATCAAATTGCAAAACCTTTTCCTTCAGAATCAATCACATAACAAGTAACTCTGATTGTCTGTTCCTTCCCGTATATAGTGGAATAACTTTTATGTTCAAGTTAATTTTCAATAAAAACTCGGAAAAGCAGCACACTGTTATAGAACACATACAGTTGATACATAACAAATTATCGGTGTTTACGTGGTTCTTTTTTATCTACAAATAAAGGGTACGCGAGAATTAAATACAATTAATAAATTTTGAAAGGAAATTTTGCAGTATACTATGAGCTTAAATATATGTGTATCAGTCCGACATCATTGCTTGTGTTTCGTACTGTTAGTTCCCATGCTTATCATCAAAATAATAGCAATTGTTTTGAATTTCCACCAGAGATTGATCTGGATCTTTCATTCCTGTAATTTTCAAACAACGCTATACTTCTAAGACTGTCAAATGCTCATAATGGTGTGAAATAAAAATTGTTGAAGTAGAGTTTCAATCATAACACCTTTGTATTCTAGTTTGTCTTGTTATAGCTTTGTAGAAAACCCTTATATCATTAATTTGCTTTACGTCAGTTCAACAACTCTACCCAGTAGATTGTATCATCCTGCAAATTGGCGACGATGGCCATTCCTGTTCACAGTTTATTCGCTTATATAAACAAGAGGGCTATAACTGTTAGAGCATAATATGGTGCTACATTATAGACAATAGAGAATAATAGGGTACTGCATTATAAAGAATAGAGAGTAGTGGGATCTTACAATATAAAGAATTGAGAATAATGAAGTGCTACATATGTACACTATAGATACCAGAGAATACTGGGGTGCAACACATGTACACTGTAGAGAATAATGGATTGTTACATTATAAAGAATAGAGAACAATGGGGTTGTACACTTTAGAGAATAGAGAATAATTGGGTGCTACATTATAAGAAATAGAGAACAATGGGGTTGTACACTTTAGAGAATAGAGAATAATTGGGTGCTACATTATAAGGAATAGAGAACAATGGGGTTGTACACTATAGAGATTGAGAATAATTGGGTGCTACATTATAAGGAATAGAGAACAATGGGGTTGTACACTATAGAGAATAGAGAATAATTGGGTGCTACATTATAAGAAATAGAGAACAATGGGGTTGTACACTATAGAGAATAGAGAATAATGGGTGCTACATTATAAGGCATAGAGAACAATGGGATTGTACACTATAGAGAATAAGGAATAATGGGTGCTACATTATAAAAAAAAGAGAACAATGGGGTTGTACACTATAGAGAATAGGGTATAATAGGTGCTACATTATAAAGAATAGAGAACAATTGGGTTGTACACTATACCGAATAGGGAATAATGGGTGCTACATTATAAAGAATAGAGAACAATGGGGTTGTACACTATAGAGAATAGAGAATAATGGGTGCTACATTATAAAGAACAGAGAACAATGGGGTTGTACACTATAGATAATAGAGAATAATGGGTGCTACATTATAAAGAATAGAGAACAATGGGGTTGTACACTATAGAGAATAGAGAATAATCGGTGCTACATTATAAGGAATAGAGAACAATGGGGTTGTACACTATAGAGAATGGAGAATAATGGGTGCTACATTATAAAGAATAGAGAACAATGGGGTTGTACACTATAGAGAATAGAGAATAATGGGTGCTACATTATAAAGAATAGAGAACAATGGGGTTGTACACTATAGAGAATAGAGAATAATGGGTGATACATTATAAAAAATAGAGAACAATGGGGTTGTACACTATAGAGAATAGGGTATAATAGGTGCTACATTATAAAGAATAGAGAACAATTGGGTTGTACACTATACCGAATAGGAAATAATGGGTGCTACATTATAAAGAATTGAGAACAATGGGGTTGTACACTATAGAGAATTGAGAATAATGGGTGCTACATTATAAAGAATAGAGAACAATGGGGTTGTACACTATAGAGAATAGAGAATAATGGGTGCTACATTATAAAGAATAGAGAACAATGGGGTTGTACACTATAGAGAATAGAGAATAATGGGTGCTACAGTATAATGAATAGAGAACAATGGGGTTGTACACTATAGAGAATAGAGAATAATGGGTGCTACATTATAAAGAATAGAGAACAATGGGGTTGTACACTATAGAGAATAGAGAATAATGGGTGCTACATTATAAAGAATAGAGAACAATGGGGTTGTACACTATAGAGAATAGAGAATAATGGGTGCTACATTATAAAGAATAGAGAACAATGGGGTTGTACACTATAGAGAATAGAGAATAATGGGTGCTACATTATAAAGAATAGAGAACAATGGGGTTGTACACTATAGAGAATAGAGAATAATGGGTGCTACATTATAAAGAATAGAGAACAATGGGGTTGTATACTATAGAGAATAGGGAATAATGGGTGCTACATTATAAAGAATAGAGAACAATGGGATTGTACACTATAGAGAATAGAGAATAATGGGTGCTACATTATAAGGAATAGAGAACAATGGGGTTGTACACTATAGAGAATGGAGAATAATAGGTGCTACATTATAAAGAATAGAGAACAATGGGGTTGTACACTATAGAGAATAGAGAATAATAGGTGCTACATTATAAAGAATAGAGAACAATGGGGTTGTACACTATAGAGAATAGAGAATAATGGGTGCTACATTATAAAGAATAGAGAACAATGGGGTTGTACACTATAGAGAATAGAGAATAATGGGTGATACATTATAAAAAATAGAGAACAATGGGGTTGTACACTATAGAGAATAGGGTATAATAGGTGCTACATTATAAAGAATAGAGAACAATTGGGTTGTACACTATACCGAATAGGGAATAATGGGTGCTACATTATAAGGAATAGAGAACAATGGGGTTGTATACTATAGAGAATAGAGAATAATGGGGGCTACATTATAAAGAATAGAGAACAATGGGGTTGTATACTATAGAGAATAGAGAAAAATGGGGGCTACATTATAAAGAATAGAGACCAATGGGGTTGTATACTATAGAGAATAGAGAATAATGGGGGCTACATTATAAAGAATAGAGAACAATGGGGTTTTATACTATAGAGAATAGGGTATAATAGGTGCTACATTATAAAGAATAGAGAACAATTGGGTTGTACACTATACCGAATAGGGAATAATGGGTGCTACATTATAAAGAATAGAGAACAATGGGGTTGTACACTATAGAGAATAGAGAATAATGGGTGCTACATTATAAAGAATAGAGAACAATGGGGTTGTACACTATAGAGAATAAAGAATAATGGGTGCTACATTATAAAGAATAGAGAACAATGGGGTTGTACACTATAGAGAATAGAGAATAATGGGTGCTACATTATAAAGAATAGAGAACAATGGGGTTGTACACTATAGAGAATAGAGAATAATGGGTGCTACATTATAAAGAATAGAGAACAATGGGGTTGTATACTATAGAGAATAGGGAATAATGGGTGCTACATTATAAAGAATATAGAACAATGGGATTGTACACTATAGAGAATAGAGAATAATGGGTGCTACATTATAAGGAATAGAGAACAATGGGGTTGTACACTATAGAGAATGGAGAATAATAGGTGCTACATTATAAAGAATAGAGAACAATGGGGTTGTACACTATAGAGAATAGAGAATAATAGGTGCTACATTATAAAGAATAGAGAACAATGGGGTTGTACACTATAGAGAATAGAGAATAATGGGTGCTACATTATAAGGAATAGAGAACAATGGGGTTGTACACTATAGAGAATAGAGAATAATGGGTGATACATTATAAAAAATAGAGAACAATGGGGTTGTACACTATAGAGAATAGAGAATAATTGGCTGCTA